ACTTCGTTTGGAGTGAGTGGCCTTATCGGAAGCCAAGGGGATTGTATTGGAGCCGTGACTAGATTTGTGCGCCGTCTTACAACCTTCACTTTCGTCTGTTATGTGATGGATTCCATCAAAAGAGGATGTATTCTACGATTCTTGGTCACCGCTCCAAGGCAATTATGTTTCGGCACGCCTACATCAATCTGCTAAGAGGTTCTTAGAAAATCAGTTTTGATTCAAGCCTATATTATCTTAATCTTAGTAGGATGTGGCTATGCAGGTTTTCTTATTTGCTTACCTTATTGCTTTTCCTTATGAATTGTTAGCTGTATTCCTTTTCGTTAAGCATTCTATTCTTACACTTCTGAATTTCTATTAATCCCTTTTATGCATTTCTTCATATCGCTAAAATTTATTCATACTCCAATTGTGTTTAATGATGATATCGCAGGGGTCCAGAAGCGGCTTGAATGTGGGTCGCACATCGGGTCCTTCTTTGGCTACTCATCTGAGAGCATTGAATGCTCCCGATGCGACAATGCCATGACTGATCGAACATTTATTTAACGATTATAATTCATATTGTTTCGTTATTAAGGCTTATTTTATCTGTAAAGCTTTCAGATGGTTTGCAGTACATCTTCGCTCACGTTGGTCAACTAACTGGCATGTATCGTTACAAGTATAAGCTCATGCGTCAGATACGTATGTGCAAGGATCTCAAACACCTTATATATTATCGCTTCAATACCGGTCCCGTTGGCAAAGGCCCTGGTGTCGGTTTTTGGGCACCAGGGTGGCGCGTTTGGCTCTTTTTCATGCGCGGAATCACACCTCTACTTGAAAATTGGCTTGGAAATCTTCTATCGCGTCAGTTTGAAGGTCGACATTCAAAGGGAGTAACAAAAACGGTCACAAAGCAGCGAGTTGAGTCGCACTACGATTTAGAATTGAGAGCTGCTGTCATGCATGACATTCTCGACATGATGCCTGAAGGTATAAAACAAAATAAGGCCCGCATAATTTTGCAGCATCTGAGTGAAGCGTGGCGTTGTTGGAAAGCAAATATTCCGTGGAAAGTGAGTTATGACCATATCTATTAAGATGTTATTTCTTTGTTAGTTTGAATTTAGTTGGCTTTGATTCCTCCATAGGTCCCTAGCATGCCAATACCGATCGAGAACATGATTCTACGATATGTCAAAGCTAAAGCTGATTGGTGGACTAATACGGCCCATTACAACAGAGAAAGAATTCGTAGAGGTGCAACAGTTGATAAAACTGTTTGCAAGAAAAATTTGGGCCGACTTACACGTCTTTATTTAAAGTCCGAACAAGAGCGTCAGCACAATTACCTAAAGGTAATTTCATGAAATCAGTTTATACCCTTTAAATGCTTTTTAATGATTCATTCCACCTATAGGATGGGCCATATGTAACTGCAGAAGAAGCTGTAGCCATCTACACAACTACCGTTCATTGGCTTGAAGGACGTCGCTTCTCTCCAATTCCTTTTCCTCCTCTCAGTTACAAACATGATACTAAGCTGTTGATTCTTGCTCTTGAACGTCTTCGGGAATCATATAGCGTGAAAAATCGTTTGAATCAGTCTCAACGTGAAGAGTTAGGCCTTATTGAACAAGCTTATGATAACCCCCATGAGGCCCTGAGCCGTATCAAGCGCCATCTCTTGACCCAACGTGCCTTTAAGGAAGTAGGCATTGAATTTATGGATCTATATAGCCATCTTATCCCTGTATATGACGTAGAACCACTTGAAAAGATTACGGATGCCTACCTGGACCAATATCTATGGTATGAAGCTGATAAGCGCAGATTGTTCCCCCCTTGGATCAAGCCTGCTGATATTGAGCCGCCCCCTCTGCTAGTATACAAATGGTGTCAAGGAATCAATAACCTCGAGGTAATGCTAGTGATTCTTTTAATGCTTTCTGTCGATCCATTTTTTCATCAACATCCTAATATTGTTGTATTACCATCTACCAGAGCGTTTGGGATACTAATGAGGGGGAATGCAACGTGCTTTTGGAGACAAAATTTGAAAAGGTCTACGAGAAGATAGATCTCACCCTTCTCAATCGACTTCTTCGACTCATTGTCGATCATAACATTGCTGATTATATGACAGCCAAAAACAATGTATTGATAAATTACAAAGACATGAATCATACTAATAGCTACGGGATCATCAGAGGTCTTCAGTTTGCATCATTTATCACACAATATTATGGTCTAGTACTCGATTTGCTCGTTCTTGGCCTCGAAAGAGCTGCTGAGATGGCCGGCCCACCTCAAATGCCTAATGACTTTCTTCAATACCAGGTTAGTCAGATCAGTTTGAAATTTAAACGTTTTCAAGTAAATGAATTCCTCCTTGCTTATTTGCACCTTTGTTCTTCATCTTCCAGGACAGTGCTACCGAAACTGCTCATCCGATTCGTCTGTATTGTAGATATATC